GGGCGATTTCCAGCAGCGCCATTTCTAAGGCGGTGTCCGGAGCCAGTGCAGGTACCAGCCGTTGCTTCCCTTGTGCCCTCCGCACTCCCTTCCCGGCTGCTCTGCATCCCCTGGAGCTCCCTTTCCCCTGCAGGTGATTACAGCGACGCCATCGAGACCCTCCTCACAGCCATCGCTGTTATCAAGCAGTCCCGCGTTGCCAATGACGAGCGGTGCCGCGTCCTCCTCTCTTCCCTCAAAGACTGTCTGCATGGCATCGAGGCCAAGTCTTACAGCACGGGCGCCAGCAGCAGCTCCTCCAGGTACCGGCAGCCTCGGGGACCGTCGGGGCAGGGCTCTGGAGCTTGGAGCCCTTTGGATGGTGCTTGGCCTGAGGCTTTGGTCTCGGCTCCTGTGGGAGAGGCCGGCTGGAGGATGTGGTTCACGTGGCAGGCCTGTCCCCTCCATCCCTGCGGTGTGAGGGGACTGAGAGCTTTCCATTTCTTCTCCAGGAAAAGACACCGGTCCCGGGAGCGATCTCCCCGGGGAGCCCCCCCCCAGCCGGTCCCGCGAGAGCAGCCGGCGGCACCGGGACACGCTCCACAGTGAGGATCGGCACGAGGACTATTTCCAGGAGCGCAACCGGGAGCACGATCGGCATCGGGACAGGGACAGAGAGCGGGACCGGCACCACTGAGACAGGTGAGCTGGCGCGGGGGGCTGGCCCGTGGGTGCCACGAGCCCCAGCTGGGCCCCCCTGGGCTCTGGGTTTCATTCCCGCCTCCCTGCGGACCTTCCGGGGAATGAGCAGGTGGTGTGGGATCTCCAGGGCTCTCCTGCTTTGCTGCAGGGTGGCAGAGGGGCCGGGGGACAGGGCAGGGCTTCACTGGGGCTGCGCTCACTGCCCCTCTCCTCTGCCCCCGCAGGAGTTTGGCAGCGAGTGGTTTTTAATGGACTTGTATCTCTTCACCTCGACCAGGACGACACAACCGAGGCCGCTCCACCCTCACCCTTCCCTGCCACCCCCAGCTCTCTCTGGGCGCCCGAGGGAAGCCACGCGGTGCCCCCCGGGGACTCCAGCTGTCACCTTGTGGCCTTGGCACCTGAGCCCTGACCCTTGCTTACTGCTGCTCCTGCTTCCTGGCGAGAGGCTGGGAGCTCCGGAGCCAGGGAATGCCTGGGCTGTTGAGCCCGGCCGCCACTCCAATCCAGGGATCCTCGGACCCAAAGAGAAATGGTGCTTTTTTTTTTTTTCCAGGGAGGGAGGTGTACGAGCCCTTTCCTCCCTTCTGCCCTCCCGGGGCGGCTGGAAGGGGACGGATCCGCCAGCGCATGCACAGTGGAGAGTGCAGGAGCCGGCCCAGGCTCCCTGGAGTTTCTCCAAGGTCCTGCAGGTCCTGCCACCCTGCCAGGGCAGCCTGCTGGCCTCGGTGCTCCAGCAGCCCCAGGGGGCACCCTGCCCCTCTGCTCGTGCTCTCCCTCATCCCAAGGAGGCGGCGCACGGCGGGTGCCCCTGCGGCTCTGCTCCCCGCAGCCCTTCCTGGCCCTCTCCGCTCTCCTGGGCTGCTCCAGGCGGAAATTCCCCTGCCCACGGCCAGCTCCGCTCACTGCCTCGCACAGGAGCGGTTTGGCGCCCAGCAGAGGCCTCCGTGCAGAATCTTCCTTGTTTTAGAGGAAGGGAGGGAGGCAGAGGGCCAAGGGACAGGGCCACCAAGCTGGTGGCAGGGCAGGAGCTGCCTGCACTTGGGGCTCTCCACAGGGGCCCTGCTGGGTGGCAGCAGGTGCCGGCTGCTGCCCGGGCCTGTCCCTCTCCCGCTCGTCCCGGGGCGGTGCCACGTGCTGCACCGGGCAGGGGAGCAGCTGGGCAGGAGCCCCCACGGCCACGGAGGCAGCGTCACCCGCAGTGCCCCGGAGCACGGGCTTGCGAGGAGGGCTGCAGGGCGCGGGGACGAGCCAGGGACGCCGGGTGACTCCCAGGGCAGGGTGCCCAGCCCACAGGGCTTCCATCTCCTTCTGAACTGTGGTTGGCCGTGAAGAATCCTGGCTCTGGAGGTCTTTTTAGAGAGAATCACCAAAAATACACAAACAAACAAAAACAACAACAACAACAAAAATGTATAAAGTACCACGAGGCACCAGCTAAGAGGGTGAGTGCCAGGGGAGCACACAGCAGAAGAGTTGTTTTTTACTTAATTTTTAGTTTCTTTCTGAATAGCGGGGAAAAGTGCAGAGCAAACCCCAGTTAACCACCCAGCAAGGTGCTGCCCCTCCTGCTCGCAGTGACTAGATTCGTTTGTCTTTCTGATAGGTTGGAAATTGTGTAATAAACTTGATGACCTTGTCAATCTTTTATATGGTGCTGCAGGGCTTTCCTTTGTACCGAGTTCTTCTGTTGCTAACTGGGGTGTGAGTGTTTTATGGATGCAGTGGGGCACAAGCCTGCGAGGGGAGGGCAGCAGGGGCCGGGCTCGGAGCAGCTCCCCTCTCCAGCAGGCAGCGGGAGCAGAGTAGAACTTTTATGTCCCTGCTTGTTGGAGGAAGCCCAGGCACCAGGTACAAGAAGAAAAAATGTTTATTGGAAAATAGTAAATTATTCTGAGGATGCAGTAGAAAAAAATAATAATTCCTCAGCGCTGAAACTGACCTGTGTGGCACGAGCCCTGGGGTCTGGGTCCCAACATGTGGGCCCATTCTGGGGAGCGGGGTGGCTGTTGCTGCCCCAGCCACTTTCTTGCCCTGCTGCAGGGCAGAGGGGATGGTCCTGC